AGGGGATGAGATTGGGAGTTTGTGGGGGGCAAGGGAGGAGGGGAGGGAGAGGGAACTGGGATTGACATGTAAAACAAGCTTGTTTCTAATTTAAATTTTAAAAAAAGAAAAAGAGAGAGAAAGAGATCCACTGGTACATGTTGTCTACTCCATAGTCAGTACATAGAAAATGCCCAGTAAGGGGTGCCCGGGTGTCACAAATCTCTGGAATCCTTTACAGAAATTTCTTCACATCAAAAGGGTAAAATTCAATAGATCTGGAAGTATCAAATCAGGTGTCCAAATTGTCTTACTTGTGTTCAACGAGAGGAAAAATGCAAATTGTCAAAACAATACAAAAATGACATAAACAGGAGGTGCCAACATGATCCTCTTCAACAGTCAAGACACAGTGATCGTTCTGAGCACGTTAGACACATTTGTAAGGACAGAATGCACCGGTCAGTTCAGCACACAAGGTAAGACATGCTTCACTCACAAGTTAACCTACCTGTCATAAATCTTGCTTTTATTAAAAGACCAAATCACATTGACATACACACAATCATAAAGAAGAAACCTGAAGGGGATTTATTCTCATGGAAAAAAAAAAACAACCTGTCTCAAATTATATAAATAAAAATATATCAAAATTAATGATCAGCACATTCCATCTTTAAAAATGTTTCCCCAGCATCAGCTCACAGACTTGTGAGGCCAGTATTCAAATGTTTGTTTTATAGTTGGAAAATAGAAAAAGAAAGATAAAGACCAACCCAAGGCAGGGTTCCATCAGTTCCCAAGGCAGAGCAGTCTGTGCATTAGGAGAGTTTTTCTCGATTTTTGACCTTTAAAAGTCAGGAGATATTGCCAGATGTGGTGGTCCATGCCTTTAATTCCAGCATTCAGGAGGCAGAGCCTAGTGGAACTCTGTGAGTTCAAGGTTAGACAGGACAGCCAGGGCTACATAGTGAGTCCCTGTCTCCAAAATAAAGTAAAACAAAATGAGCTACAGGACTAGGGATGTGACTCAATCGGTGTGGTGTTTGCCTAACAAACATGAAGTCCTGGATTCAGTCTTTAGTGCCACATAAACCAGGCATAACACAAATCTATCATCTCAACAATACAGGGGCAGAGGCAGGAGGATTAGAAATTCAAGGTCATCTTTTGCTACATAGAAAATGTGTGGCCAATCTAGGCTTCATGAGACCTTATCTCAATAATAATCATAATCATATGCAACTAGCTCAATTTAGAAAAATGAGCTTTGGTGAAGGAATAGATACTTTTAGAAGCTAAGGACAGAAAACTAATTTTGAAAGCAAATAATTTGTGTGCCCCCCAGCAGCCCGTTAATTGCCCTCTGTTATTTCTGCATCCAGTGAGAAAGTAATGGTAACCTCTCTCCTTGGAGCTATGTCCTCTGCTTTTTAATGAGCGGATTTTATGGAACTCCAATTAAATATGTAGTGAGCTTATGGAATCTCAAGAAAATGTGGGTCTCCTTTTTGTTTACATAAATTAGTCTCCAAATTCTCAGCAAGGCTTCAAAAGCTGCACAAGTGCGAATGTGTGAAGGGAAATTCTTCATGAATTTGCAAATTGCCTTAAGTAAGAGCCGTCAATAGCCATCCGGTATGAAAGCTTGTTTTACTAATTTGTGGCTGAGCAGCTGTTGTTTTGTTAGCTTCTTTTACACAAGAAAATCTGAAAATGAATCGGGCAGAGGGGCCAGATTGCTTTCTATGGTAAATGTTTTCATATGCTTCTCCTAGGGTTTTCTTGTTTGCAAGAAAATTCAGTAACGAAAGATCATTAACTGTCACTCTGGAGAAGTGTTGGCCAAGGATACGGACACCTTAAATTGCAATAGATTATGTCTCATGTGACACACCATGCCACAACTGTGAGGGCAGGGTGAGAACATAGACCAAGAAAATGGGAGCCAATCCTCTGGGAACCTGCAAAACCTAGCAAAGGCCTGGAGGATGGCTGGTGCTGATGCTGGTAGGGCATAGACCGTCTGTCCATGCGGATGTCATGAGGACCAGAAGCAGTTGCAAACACTTCATAACTAATATGTTCTACAATCAAGGTGCTTTGTAAATTATAAACTACATGTCCCTTCTGTGGAGAGGGGCATCATGTACCCCGTAACACAATCATCTTTAAGTTTCCTTGAGGACTTTGTCAACAAAAATAACTACATGTGTTTAGCCATTGAGCAGTCAGGGCTGGCAAGATGGCTCAGCTGGTTAAGATACTTACTTAGGAGAGCCTGATGCCTGAGTTCGACACCCAGAACCTATGTAAGGGTAGGAGAGAACCAAATCCACAAAGTTGTCCTCTGTCCTTCACGGAACACACACACACACACACACACACACACACACACACACACCAACAACAACAACAACAATAATAAATAAAATTTAAGAAACTTTTTAGAAATTTTTACAAACATCATAGATATACCCCCAAACATGAAAACATAGAAATAGAAGAATAAAAAAGAATACATAGGAATTCTGTTTTTAGTGTATTCCTCTTGCCCCCAATGGGTTATCTGTGGAGCTCTCACTCTGTTGTCATACTGAACTTATTTGAAAATAAGGAGTGATAGCCATAATTAACATTCACATAGTGCACGTAAATACTGCTAAATATTACTAATTGTGGTGCTCCCACCATATTAACTTGTTTGATGTTGGTAATAGCCTTATACAGAAGGTATAATTATTGTGTTCCTTTCTCAGGTGATGAAATTGAAGGCCAGATGGTCTCTTCATCTATCCACAGCCACATAAGTACAAAGAAGTAAGAAAATCCTTGGACCCCAGGCAATCTAAAGCCAGAATCCAGCTAACCTGAACCTAGAAAACCTGGAACTAACCAGGAAGTGAAAGGGTTCGTGTGCATTGGCTCCCATAGTGTCTGAGTGATAACAAGTGACTTTCCATGTCATAATTGTTGCTTCAAATGTGTGTCTCCCGCTGCTAGTCTGAAAAGGCCTTTGGAGCAGAGAATGGGTGTATGTTTATAAGGCAACATTGAACACCTATACTTATACACAAGTGCTCCTGGTAGGTATTGTTAAATGACTGTTGGGTGAAAGAAAATATTTTTAATTGTGTATTAACTATGTGTGTGTGTGTGTGTGTGTGTGTGTGAGAGAGAGAGAGAGAGAGAGAGAGAGAGAGAGAGAGAGAGAGAGAAAGAGAGAGAGAGAGGAGTGACAAAGGAAGAAGAAAGGAGGAGAGGTATCTGATACCCTGGGGCTAGAGTTATAGGCAGTTGTGAGTTGACCTGTTGGTGCTGGAAACTGAACTCTGGTCTTCTATAAGAGCAGCAAGCATTTCCAACCACCCAAGTCTGCTCTCTAAACCCCAGAGGGAAAAAAAATCAAAAACTGGGTACATGAAAGGACTTAACCCAAATCACTAAACATGCACTTAAGTTGAACTTGGACTGGAACTGTCTCTTATTAACAAAAATACTCACTTTTTTTTAAAACTAAGAAATCAGTCTGTTGTTAAGCCAACACCTGGGGGATATGGTCATGGATATCATCAAGTTCCAAGCGTGGATACTGTCCATTCACTATCTCCAGACCCTTGTACCTAGAGAACAAAGAAGAAAGATGAAAGAGAAGAGATAAGATAGGGCTTGTGGGGGCCTATTCCTGCCTCCTCTCACAGAAGAGTAAAACATGAAGAGAATCTGTGCTTGCACTCTGGATAAGACAGGAACTATATCTCATTGCAACTGTAGGCTGTGTATCTAGTTAGAAAAAAATAATAATTGAAAATTTAAAAAGAATAGACAAATGGTGACTTCCTTTTCACAAACCTAGGTTAACACGGAATTCACACAGGATGTGCGGTTTCACTTCCATGACAGCAAAGTCTACAAACATTAAACATGGTGTCAGTGTGTGAGCCACTGATTCCTCCTCTAAGTACACATCTGTGAGAAGTGACAACACTCCACACAAAAACTTACCATGGTGTTCACAGCACTGTTGTCTGTGATAACCCAGGGGTGAAAGCACACCAAATGTTAAAGATGCAGATATGGGGAAACACATACTGAGTGCACACACACACACACACACACACACACACACACACACACACACACACACACAATGAGAGAGACTGAGACACATACTGAGTGCACACACACACACACACACACACACACACACACACAATGAGAGAGACTGAGACACATACTGAGTGCACACACACACACAATGAGAGAGACTGAGACAGAGACACAGACAGGGGCACAGAGGGACAGAGAGACAGGGACAATTTAGTGGCATAGACTATAACCCAAGAATTCAGAAGGCTGAAGCATAAAGATTATGGCTGTAAGAATAACTTTACTCAAGGACAGCCTGGGTAGGTTACATATAAAACTCTGCCACAAACAAAAAGGAAGAAAGGAGGAAGGGAAGGAAGGAAGAAAAAAGGAGGAAAGGAAGGAAGGAAGGAAGGAAGGAAGGAAGGAAGGAAGGAAGGAATGGAGGGAAGGAAAACAACAAGAAAAAGAAAAAGAAATGCATTTTTGCATTATGATATGGCTACAAGTCTTTGGAAGCCAGGGAGTAGAATCCACATGGTAGTTTGAAAGAAAGTGGCCCCCAAAGGGAGTGGTACTATTGGGACTTGTGGCCTTGTTGGAGGCAGTCTGTCAGTGTGGAGGTAGGTTCTGACATGTCATGTATGCTCAAGCCACACCTAATATCTCAGTTCACTTCCTGTTGCCTTTGGATAAAGATGTAAGGACTCTCAGCTCCAACACCGTGTCTGTATGCATTCTGCCATACTCCCAGCCACCATGCTTCCCAACATGGTGGTAATGGAATAAACCTCTGACACTGTAAGCCACCATCTCAATAAAATGTTTTACATCATGGTGTCTCTTTACAGCAATAGAAACCCTAACTAAGACATCTTCTTTGGAGAAATGTCCATTTTAATCCTTTGTTCATTTTTAAATTGAGCTTTTCATTATTATTAAACTATGTGAATACTTTATGTTCTAAATAGAAGCCCTATATCAGTATTTCTTCTATCTCCAGATGGTATCCTTTGAGACACAGGCTTTTAGATTTTAGTGTAGTCCAACTTACCAATTTTTTTCTTTTATTTCTGTCATATCAAGAAATTATTGTCACATCTAATATCAAGATATTCCCCATCTCCCCCACTGAGTTTTCTTCTAAGGTTTTGTTGTTTTGTTTTTGTTTGTTTGTTTTGTTTTTTGTTGAGGTTTTTTTTCTCTTATGCTTATGTCTTTCGTCCATTTGGAGTTCATTTTTGTAGCTGTGACCAGGATCTGGCTTTATTCCTTTGCATGTTACTATCCAGTTGTTCTAGAATCATTTGTGGAAAAAAAATAATGTCTTTCCTTATTGAATTTTCTCAGGATCCTTGTCAAAGTAAATTGGTTCTAATGTGAAGGTTGGCTTCTAGAGTCTCTGCCCATTCCACTGATCCATTTCTCGTTCTTACATCAGTACCACACTGTCTTGATTACTGTCACTCTGGAGTAAGACTTGCTATCAGGAAGTGTGAGTCTTCCAACTTTCTTTTCTCATGATTGTGTGATGCATATATACAATATGTATAAATCACTTCAAACCTATTTCATTTTATGCACATATCCTTTTTATAGTTGACTTCACTAGCAAAGTCCTTCATTTGGTTCTTCATAAAAGCCATCTTTTCCTCCTTGTGGAGATGTCCTGGCTGCTTCCTTTGGGGACTGCCATAATCAGCAAAGTGGCCCTTTCTGGAACTGTCTGAGTCAACTCCAGTGAACAAAAGGCTCTCTGTAATAGCGGTGGATCTTCCTTCTTCCTCATATCTGTTCTTGGGCCAGGTCTCTCCTCATGGTGTTGTTGTTTTAAACGCTTGAGGCCTTCCTTTAAGATAATTATTCTGTCTATGATTATTCCAGTTGAATTGTTCAAACTTGAACTGAGTGCACTTCTTAATAACAGATTCTTTGGAATAGTCTTCAATGTGTGTATATAAAACATGCATACAGAGACAAGAAATTCATAATGGTAAAGATATATATATATACAGTTTTTAAAAATTATGTTATGAGAGCTATAGAGACATATACATACATAGGTACCTATTTCTACTTGTAAGTTTCTACATATAACTTCTTTCCTAATTGACTAATTAGTTTCCTACAGAATATAAATTTTAGTTCAAACTAGCAAGAAGCTGTCCCTCCTAGGGCATTAAGGTATCTGTGTCAATTCTTTTTGAGTCCTGAAGGACACACAGTATCATCATACTAGCCTTTAAGAAACTCTGAGACTAATGGCATTTAGTTAAAATTCTAACAAGTATTTTCCTGTGTCAAGGAAGACTCCCTGGTATTAGAGACTTGATTATTTTCCAAACTTTTAAGCCATCAAATATACATATATATATATATATATATATATATATATATATATATATATAAACTGTTTTAAAACATATCAAGAAAGACCTCTCCATAAGCTAACAATGAGCAAGAAAAATGATAAAAAAAAAATAGGCAGCACATTATTTATGTGGGCAGCAAACCTGGTTTTAAACCACTTCTCAACACTGTCTGGGGCTGTGAGAAGGCAGTCACAATGGCAAGTCTGAGGAGGTAGCTTGTTAGAGCTTGGATGTTGAATGTCCCCAAAAGGTCCACACACCAAAGGCTCTGGCTCCAAGGTAGTACTATCAAGAGATGGTGTTATCTTAGGGTGGAACTCAGCAGAGCATCCTTAGATCACAGCAGGACTACCTTGGAGGGCACTGTGAGAGCCTGGCCCCTTCCTCTTCTTTTGCTTCCTGGTCATGAAATCAGCAGTTTCCTCTGCCATGCTTTCTTTCTCTACCATTGCCATCAGACACACTTCCCCAATTGTAAAAGCAATGAGTCCACATATAACCTTTTCTCTTTATAAGCTAATTGTGCCAGGTATTTTAAAATAGTAACAGAAAGCTGACTAAACAAACTTGTTGCTAGCAAGCAGAAATGGATTTACAGACCAACAATAGTAGGCTCCAAGGGGTTCTTTATGGCAGGTTCATCATTAAGCCTGAATTACAGAGCACTCATGGGCTTCAACTATGGACAACAGAAGACAATTGAGACAGGGCTGAAGCTATTTCCTCACTTGACCCTTGGGGAGAGTGCAAAGCCTGAGCCATTAACACCTGACAGGCAGTATTATAATACTTTGATGATACAGATACTGGCAGCATTGTGCTGTCTGTGTATGTGGGGGTTAGGAATAACCCCATGTGGTGAGTTCATCACCATCCTGAGGAGCAGAAACTAAAACATGGAAACAATAGTATTTTCAGCACTAACTTCAGGGAAAATAATAATTATTCTTCATAGGTTAACTATGAACAGTAGCTGCAGTCATGAAAACACCCAGTTCCTACAAAACCCAAATTAAAGCTCAATTCTAGACATGGGTGGGGAGTGTTATGGTGAGAGTGGTGGCAAAGTGTATGTGTGTGTGTGGGGGGGGGAGAACCTAAACCATCTTCTGCTCTCATGAAAAGAAGGCAGAATATACCCAGGTCAAAATAACCAAGAAGCAGTGACATCATGTTTTCAAAGGACACACAAAGATCAGCCAAAAGCAGTAGCTGAGTGGTGATCATGGCTTCCTCAGAGAGGTTTGTGAGAATGGGATCACAAAACCAGTCTTTTTCACAACAAAACTCATACAACTGATTGATTCCCTGAGCTGATTTCATTGATAAAACTTAAGAAAACAGAAGAGGATGATATGATGAGAGCATAGAGCTGGGACATAAATTCCTCAACCATAACAATAGTCCAAGAACAACAGCCAGAAAGGATGAAGATGGAGCAGAGCAGTGAAGACTATCATAGAAAACAGAGAATGTTCAGTGCCTGCACAGGGACAAGAGATAGCAAAATGCTCAAATCTCAAGCCAGTCCTCTGGGTAAATGAGACCTAGTCAAGAAAATAAATGAGCATCATATCACCTACCTCATACAATTAGTGTAGTCCGTTGGGTCACTTAAGACTATCGGAAAACAGATATTTACATTACAACTCATAACAGTAGCAAAATTGCAGTTATGAAGTAGCAACAAAAATAATTTTATGGTTGGGGGGTCACCACAACATGAAGAACTGTATTAAGGGGTCACAGCACTAGGAAGGTTGAGAAGAACTGCTTTAGAGGAAGGAAGGGCTGGATTTCTGAAACTGATTTGCTAAAAAGATGAATATGAAGTATTCAGTTTACAAAGCAAAGAAAATATATGAATACAAGTATCACATCATTCTACAGGGTCCTGCCCAGAGGTGATGGTGGTGCACGCCTTTGATCCCAGTACTCAGGAGGCAGAGGCAAATGGATCTGAGAGTTTGAGGTGAGCCTGGTCTACAGAGAGAGTTCTAGGACAGCCAGGATAGTTACACAGAGAAACCCTGTCTCGAAAAACAAACAAAACAAAAACAAAACAAAACAAAAAAAGGGCTGCTATGCAAAACTGCCACCCACAGCAGCCCCTTAATTAACACTCTCTCCTTGCCAGGAGAGATTGTCCCTCAGTCTTGCCATCAATAATTATAATACACGTATCTTGTTTTCTCGATTATTTAGTCCTCTATTTGAAGCAATCTCCGATTTTTGACAAATTGCAGAAGTAAACCAAAAATGAAGAGAACCTTAAAAATGACAATGATCATAAAAGGATTAAAATCTTCTTTAGGATGTATCAGTATCACCATAGAGAGTGGCCTGGGCTCCTGCATGGATGTGGGGAATGCCCGGAGCAAATCCAACAGAGACTCCCAGGGAAGGATGATGCTGGGCTTCCACTGAGGATGCAGGGGGTTGTACAGCTGTGCCGTTCTCTCACAAAGAAAGGCCTTGACAGCTCCATCCCAAGGCTAACATCAATATCATCCTTGGCTGGGGAACCATGAAAAGTCATGACCAAGTCAAATGAAAACAGCATCCAAGGGAGAAAGAAGAAATAAAAATGAAGGGGGCCTAGTCTCTGAGCTAGAAATGGCCACTCTAGGCAGCTGCTTGGCTGCCGGGAGTCTGTCTGATCCAGACTAGCCTGACCGTCTGAAGGCTTCCCTTCCCTCCTGCCAGGGTGACTGACAGGTGAAGACAGGAACTGGGGCTGTGCCTAAAACCAAACCAAGGAACTCTCACCTGTCCAGGGGACTGCAGAGAAGTTGCAGGATCAAAAACATAGATGTCCTGGGGCTCCTCTGGCATCATTCAGCAGGAGCTTAAGAACCAGTTGAGAAAAAGAAAAAATTACTTTAGAAGATGATAGTTTAAAAAAAAAAAAAATACTGTCCAAGATGAGACTGGAGTGATGGCTCAGCAGGTTTTACAGGCACTATGTGCTCTTGCAGAGGACAAAGGTTTGGGTCCCAGCATCCGCATGGCAGCTCAAAACCACCTGTAACTACCTTCCCAGGGTTTCTGATGCCCTCTTCTGGCCTCCACAGGCTCCTGCATGTGGTGGTATACATAAACACAGGCACACACACATACACATAAAAATACATGAATCTTTAAAAATCTGGCTTGAGAGTTGCTATATTTCAGGAAGGTTTCATTTCTAGTGATATTTCTATGCACCTTCTCGAACATTAAAAAATAATAATAAAAACAAAACCTGAATCTTCTCCAGTTTAGATGTAATTCATTTTGTCAATATCCTGTTAATCAATATCCTAGTGAAGGAAGCAAATGTTTAAAACTAAATGTTCAGAACCTCTGATATCTCGAAAGTGATTTAGAATAATCATAAAAAGAGATTTCCAAGTGGGCAGTGGTGGTGCACACCTTTAATCTCAGCACTTGGGAGGCAGCGGCAGGCAGATCTCATGAGTTCAAGTCTAGCCTGGTCTACAGAGAGAATTCCAGGACAGCCAGGGCTACACAGAGAAATCCTGACTCAAAAAGGAGGAGGAAAGAAAGAAAGAAAGAAAGAAAGAAAGAAAGAAAGAAAGAAAGAAAGAAAGAAAGAGAGAAAGGGAGGAAGGGGAGAGGGGAGGAAAGAAGGAAGGAAGGAAGGAAGGAAGGAAGGAAGGAAAGAAGGAAGGAAAGAAGGAAGGAAAGAAGGAAAGAAAAAAGAAATTCCCAAGGTTCATCTGCTTGGTCCAATGTTTAGGGTTGTTTATTTATATGTATATTTATTTTTATGTATATCTGCGTGTGGTGAATATGTGGGGGGGGCACATGTGTGTGGGTACATGTGTGTGAGGTGCATGTACATATGGGTAAATATGCATGTGGGAGCCCAATACATGCCTTTGGGTGCCTTCCTTGATCACTCACCTGTAAGACACCATGACATATTCTATTTCCGAGTAGACCAATAGATCTTCTGCCCATTACATTACCTTTTACAACAGCTGTATTCCTCAATGCCAAAAAATATGTGTGGCGAGGGCGGCGAGAGGAGGCTCTACAGAGAGAACTTGCACAGTAGAGTTATAGTTTTGGTGACTGATTTATTATCCATCTTGGAAATTATTTCTTTTATTCAGACATGGTGGTACACACCTGTGATTCCAGCACACAGCTGACTAGAGTAAGAGGATTGCTATGAGTTCCTGGGCAGCCCATCAGGCTACAGAGTAAGACCTTGTTTCTAAAAATGGCAGAGAAGGGGCTGGAGAGATGGCTCAGTGGATAAGAGCACTTGCTGTACATGCTCAGGAACCCAAATTCAAATCCCTAGAACCCACAGAAAAATCTGAGTGTGGTCATCCAGGCAACTCTAACCCAATGCTGAGGGAAGGGAGCTGAGACAGGAGGATTGGTAGGGCTTACTGCTCACCAGCCTAACTCTAGGTTCAGCAAGTGACCTTGTCTCAAGAATAAGTAGAGGGCAATGGCAGGACACAAGATGCCTTCCTCTGGCCTTTTGTGCACATGAACTTGCATGTACACCTGTAAATCCCACACACATAGACCACATACATTTACATACACACAAATAAAATAAATAATTAGTTTTAAAAAGCTGAGTGTGGGACTAGCTATATGTATAATAGGTAATGAAGCTTGCTGGCAAAGTCTGATCACTTCAGTTCAATCCTTGGTCCACACTTAATGGAAGGAAGAGAACTGAGTCCTGCATGTTGTCTTCTCACCCCCCCACACACACACACTGTCACATAGGCACTCAGACACACACGCATGCACATACACCACACACACACACACACACACACACACACACACACACACAATGTAATTATTTTTTAATTTGAAAATAAAAGCTGAGTGTAGTGACTCACTCTTGTCATCCCAGACAGATTAAGAATTCAAGGTCAGCTTTGACTACATACCAAGTATGAGACCAGTCTGGGTTGCATGATACTATGTCTCAAAATCAAGTCAAATCATTAATTTCTCTTATAATGAAAGCTTTAGACCACATTGTTGCTCCTTTTGGTTCCTGGATGAAAGCCCTCTTTTCTAATTTTCACTCAAGAGTGAAGATAGGGAAATGGGGGGGACCAGATGTCTCCTCCTCCTGCTTCCAGCCCCTAAAAGATTCAGACAGGATGAGCAGGTTGTGATTTTGTAATTAAAATTTGGGCCGTTGTCCACATTGGATAGACTTCACTAAGCTGACAGCTGAAATGAATGCACATCTCTAGCTCAGTACTCACCCTTTGGGAAGTGTAGTGAGAACAGAGGCCTGAATGATTCATCCAACACCACCCCAGTGGCCCAGCTGCTATGTGCTGAGTCTTGGTGAGGGCTTTTCCTGCCCTTTCTTTCCAACTGAGTATCAGGTTTCCTACAACATCTTCACTTCTGGTAGCTGATAAGACCTTGTATCAGTGACATTTCCACTGCTTGACAAAATACCTGAGACACTCAGGTTAATACCTGAGAAGGTCTATTTGGGCTGGCATTTTCAGAGATTTCTGTTCATGGTTACTACCCTGTCACTTTGGGCTCTTTGCAGCTTTGTGGTAAAGAAGTCCTGTTCACCTTACAGTGACAGGAAGCAAAGACAGAAAAGGAATAAGGACCCCAATATCCCTACAAAGACAGTATCTCCACTATCCCCCAATGACTTAACTTCCTTCTGGTGGAGCTACCTGCCTCTTAAAGGGTCCACACTCTCCCAGGAGAACTATAGGCTGGGGACCATGCCTTTAACACATAATACTACGAAGTTCCAAATAATAGTGGATATCATTTAATATTAAACACAAGATCACCACAAAGGTATCATAAAGAACCACTTTGTATAGAAAAACCATCCCAGCATGCTCTATCTTTGTGAGTATCTTTGCAGTGGTGGGTTTGTGGCGGGGCTTTCTAAGGACTCTGCCATTTCTTACTGCATCACTGGGATCCTGGCACACGTGACTTTAAAAACATGACAAAATATGAGGCCAACACAGTATCTAAATTAAATAACAAACCAAGAATTGTTGACACAGACCAGGACCAATAAACAAAGCACACCAGAGACCTTAAAGCTCTTAGAAGCCCCCATCCTCCAAGCAAATGACACATGGAGATTGGCGTCTTTCAAGAGTATGTTCTGAAGTTAAACATCATCTGCTTGGATGGGCAGAGACTTCTATTTTAATGATCATGAAACTATTCAAAATAAGGAAAATTAGGAGCCATTGAAGGCAATTCACATATTTAAAACAATTGAGTTTTAAATGCACTATGTTGATGTCTTATTAGCTATTGTGCTCAAGTGTCAGTTGGTGGTGTGTTCAGTCATCAAGAAAAGCTACCATTTGTAGGGGGCTTTGCTTATGCATTTTTTATGACTTCAACTTTTCTAGTTGCTCTCTCCTCTCTTGCTTTGAGCTCCCCCAAATGCAGACTGTGATGCAGGATTCTTGTCAATTTGAAAAGTGACAGAAACTCTGACAGGGGAGTGGAGACCTGGGACAGAGAAGAGAACCAAAAAAAGCTGCCTTTCCAAGCTGGCACCACTTCAGGTGATTGGATCCTAATCCTGCTTGGGTTAAAAAAAATTACATACACATACATACATACATACATACATACATACATACATACATACATAGAGAGATCTGTAGAACACACCCCTGAATTATCTCACCCACAGCGTGACAGAACTAGCACACCCTGGTCAATATTTAACCCTCTGAAAGAGGGTGGGGGAGCCCCCTGATTTGTGTGCCTGCCAGTTTCTGTTGTGTATATATTCCCATAATAGCCAAATTCAAGCTACCCGAGTAATAGCTCTAGACTTAGAATTAGGAAGAAGTATGAACTCTAGGATCTCATAAATTGGTACCAGCCCACTGCAAGGCACTACCACAATTCCTATCACTAGCTGAGTACTGCCCAGGGTAGGAGGCCACTTCTGGCTTGCCATGCAGTCAGCAAAGCAAACCTCAGGGGCCAGAGAGATGCAGACACTGCCGTGGAATCAGCTTTGTGTGCACCAGAGTGGTGGTATGAAAAAGAGATAACAGGGAAGCCTCCCATGGTGACTGCTACCTTCCGTGTTAGTGGTGGGTAAAGCGTATGTATCTCATTGATATGAAGGTCCACTGCTTGTCATGGGAGAGCTGATGCACACATGGGCCTGATAGGTACCACAGCCTGCTTGTCACTGTGTCATGCTCCTTCTGCCATAAAAAGCTGTAAGTCTCATAACATGTGAGTTTTTTTTCCTTGGAAAATTATATTGCATGACTTCAGGAAGATTACCATATCAAATAGATCCATATATTCAAGTAATGGCTCAAGATAATAGCTTTATTCCTGGAAATAAATTAAAGCTGTCCAGGGAACTGTCCTCCACCCGTACACTCAGGGATCCTTTTGTTCTGTGCTCCTGCAACTGCTGCACTATTGTAGTCATCTGCATCCAGATGTGCCTGCTGTGTCTCTAAACCACAGCTCACGGACTTAGCTGCAAGGCATTCTGGGATACATAAGCCCTGCCAAGGCAGTTAGTTGTTTCTTACTTGTGCCTGGTAGTGGGTGGAGAGAGAATTTTATAAGCAGCTGTCTCTACCATACTTTTTCATCAACCATTTATGCTAAGTTATTATTTTCTATTTCTTTTTATAATGGATTTTAAGATCTGTAATAATCTGGAACTTTTATCTTTGAAGTTTATGTCCGGTCAGAATTTTGTTTTTCAAATTGGAGGTTTGATTCAACTTTGAATTTAGGAAAAAAAAAAAAACCATAAAGTGTAGTATCCTGTTCCCCATTCAAAGGGTTTTCTTGGTATAACTTTTACTTGAGAAGTTTAATGAGCCACTAGGGAATTATGTCTACAGAGACAAGGCCTTTGAAAGGGCTTATGAATGTGCTTATGTCTAGTAAGAAAACAATAGCAACTAACTTCAGAAAGACATCAAAGCAGCTTTGAGGTTAAAAGAATGTGGAAACAGACTATCTAAGTTCAAATCTTATGTCTTCTAGTTACTAGCTGAATAATCTTGGCTGAATTACTTACCCTCTCTGTGTTTCATCTACGTCTGTAAAATGGACGTGATTATAATACCTGTGTCATTGGGTTATTGTATAGATTAAATGTTAATAATATGTTGCACTTACCACTATTCTGGCACACAGTAAGTACTCAGTAAACATTAATTATATTTAATAATATTTAGCACCTGCTCTCTACACACTTTTGGAATCTTCTTCTCTATCCTTTGAAATGTGTTTGTGTTATAGAGGAGTCTTTTTTCTAGGTTTCTATTCCATATGTCACTGCCTTTTGTGTTTATGAACCACAGTACCACGTGAACCCCAAGCCACTTTTCAAGGCTCTACTTCCTGTGGTGACTCCCACTGTCCTCACTGAGGGGCAGGGACCACCAGCTCCTGGCCCCAGAGGCCTCTCTCCCATCCATGTGTAGAATGAATTTCACAGACATGGGTGGCATTCTCCTTCTGCCTCCTCCACCAACAGTCCGAGCGATGGCAGAAGGCAGCTTTCAGGCTGCCTTCACCACCCTTTCTCTTCCTTAAGCTTTCTAAGGGATTGGCTGCAAAACCTTCTGCTCCTCTTCTGCTCTTCATCTCTCCTCCCCACCAATTATTCTCAAAAGAGCCCATTAGAAGGGCTGGGGAGATTGCTCAGGTCAGTGAAATGCCTGCCATGCAAGTAGAAGGACCTGAGTTTGATCCACAGCACTCAAGTACAAGCCAAGAATGACTGTAACTCCAGTGTTGGGAGGGTGAGGATGGGGGTGGAGGTGAGGGATCCCTGAAGTTCACTGGCCAGTCAGCCTAGCCAGATCAATAACCTCCAGGTTCAGTGACCCTGTCTCAACAAATAAGATGAAAAGCAACAGAGGAAGACAACTAATATCTGCTTCTGGCCTCCACACATACCTGCACACATGCTCACATATACACACCTACAACCCACATATATGTGTCATACACACAGAAAAGACAATTAGACTATGTAAAAACAAATTCTGATTTTTTTCTAAACTGAGTTCACCAATTTGCAAATGAAGCAATAGTACAAGGAAATTTCATGTTTGTCCAGGGTGAGGCGGGGTAGGAGGGAGTTGAAGGGCATAACCTAAGAACTTTTAGACAGCATTTTGTAACCACCTAAATCAACTCCTATTTACTAAGTATCTGCTAATTAGAAACCCTGCGAGGTGGGTGAGGATGGTGAAGAGGAAGTGCCTCCCAGTTATGGCTTATAGCAGTTGGAAACGTGGACCTGTACACAAGTGGTCCTAACACAAGATTTTATAAATTGCCCCAGTTAACAAACACTATCTCGTTTTCTCTACTCCAAGAACCTAGAAGAGTGCCTGGCTCTTAGCCGGTGCCCAGCAGTGCCTCCTTCAGATCTGAGCAGGGGGAAACTCTGCACTTGACTTTCTGCTTTGGAGTGTTCTGTGTGTTGCAAATTTACTAAAGGACACCTGGTCACTCGGTGCTGTCACACAGTGGCGGCTCAGCATAGCCCATCACCCTAAGCATATGCTTCACAAAATGGCAGGGAAAGGTTACTTTACATGCCTGCCTATATGCTGAAAGGACCAAGGTTCACAGATGGGCTCCTACTGATGCTAGAGAATATCGGCTTGTAACCAGGTGCGGTCTCACTGGCTGAAGTGTTTAGTAAGAAAATAAATGACTAATGTACTAACTTGCCAAATCTATCTCTTAATATAGCAGAAAGCTGGTAGATTCTGGAATAACAGCACAGGATACCCTAGTCATCTGAAGGTTCAAACTGTTACTTCTGACTGTGGCCCATGTTGTGAATTCCCAAAACTATTCACACATCAGCATATTCACACCTATATACAAATGCTAAAGAATGGGGTTAGAGAGATGGCACAGGGGTTAAGAGAACTTGCTGTTCTTGCAGAAGAGTTGGGTTCAATTCCCTGTACCTAACCATAAAACAGCTTACAACCATCTGTAACTCCAGTCCTAGGAGATCTACTACCCTCTTCTGGCCTCCACAAGGAAGAAAGAGAGAGGGAGGAAGGGAGGAAGGGAGGGAGGGAGAGAGAGAGAGAGAGAGAGAGAGAGAGAGAGAGAGAGAGAGAGAGAGGCAAAAAAACCTATACACATAAAATGCAAATAAAACTTTTAAAGAATGCTTAGGATCATTTTATAATATTGAGATATATGTATACTTAAATGTATAGTTGTACAATTAAAACAAAACATATGAAGTGTGTTGCTATTCTATACATTATTAACTATGGATTGATAGAATTACAGTTGTATTCTAATAAAGTATTTAATAGCACTCAACTTTCAAGAAGTTTTAGTACCATCTCATTTAAATAATTATTATTCAAATTTTTACTAGACATGAACTTTGTATTTTAAACTTATTTTTGCCTTTTAAAAATGATAAAGTTAATTTAAATTAAATTTAAAAAGCTAATACCTTATTGAATTGTTTCAATGGATTTAACATAAGCTATGTGAAATGTAATTAGAATTTTAAAAATAAAACCTTAAATGTCTCTTCATAAAACTGGGCAGAGTTATATACACCTGAAATTCTTCCAAGCACTAGGGAGGCAGAAAGAAGATGCCCACAAGTTTGAGAATATCCTGGCCTACATAGTAGTGAGTTAGAGAGTATCCAGGGCTATATAGTAAAACTTTACCTCAGAAGGCTAAACAACTTTCATTTTAAAAGTTTTAAAATTATGTATGACTTCATTCCTCATTCCAAAACTATCAGCCCATCAGCATATGCAGCTAAATACAACCCCATCTTGGTACTTTGTCACACCAGTTGTGATATTTTGAATGTAACTGATCCCCATAATCTCACAGGGAGTGCCACTATTAGGAGGCTTGTTGGAGTAGCTGTGGCCTCACTGAAGGAAGTATGTCGCTGTGGTCTCATATATGCTCATGATACCATCCAGCATATCACACCACTTCCTGTTATCTGCAAGATGTAGGACTCTCAGCTACTTCTGCAGGACCACGTCTGCCTGCACGATACCATGCTCCCCACCAAGATGATAATGGACTGAACCTCTGAAAGTATAAGCTGCCTCCTCAATTAAATGTTCTCCTTTTTAAGAGTTGTTGTGGTCATGGTGTCTCTTCGCAGCAATAGAAACCTATCTAAGACACCAGTCGTATCAAATCTAAAGCTGCACACACAGTTCAATTTTGTCTTTATAAAAAAAAACACTCTTTTCAGTTAGGAACCTCAGGAATGCATTTACGGTTGGCTCATATATTACTTCTGAAGTAATTAAAGATGTTATGTGGGGTCTCCTCTTGCAATGCTGCTCTGTCCTTGACAGTATCAGGAGGGTGAGGGTTTGTGGGTGAAGTGGACTTACTTTCAGAAGGTTAAAGAACAGGATGATGTGGAACCGAGGTGAGAACAGAACAGCTGATGGTGCCATGATAGAGATGAGAACGCTTAGCATTCCATAGGGCTAGAAGCCATGTTCATTGATGTCTGGTATCCCTGTGTCAGGTATGAAACAATAGGTTTTTACTGTATGCCGAGTTGAACTATGAGTTTGAGGAAAGAAAACAGAATCAGAAAGATACCCTGACCATAGTCATCAAAATTTACTTGACAGGTTAGATTCCTGGACATAGAGAAGCTGAGTTAATTATATGTTACCAACGAATCTGCCATTTCTTTGTTTTTTGAACATATACAGCTGGATATTTGTCATACACCAATATGCTCTAATCAGACACCCCGCAATCCATAAAACTCACAGTCTTAGATATGACAGTTACAGAACTTGCTGTGCATTACAGCAGCCACGAGCAACATGTGCATCTGCAATGGTTCTCAGCCTTCCTGAAACTGTGACATTAAACACAGCTCCTCGTTTTGTGGTCACCCCCAACCATAAAATTATTTCCGTTGTTACTTCAAAACTATAGCATTGCTATTGTTATGAATCATAATGCAAATATGTGATTTGCAGAATTTTGCTATGCCATCCCCAATGGGGTTGCGACCCATAGGTTGAGAACCACTGATCTTGAAGGCTGAAAGTCTAGAGTCTGAATTAAGATGTTTGAGATGCTCTATAAATATAAAATGCTCATAAAATATACAAGTTTTGATTAAGAAGATACACATATCACTGGCAATGTTTTGTGTACTGTGTGACTATGCATTTAAATATTTAGGGTATAAAATACATTGTTGAAATGAATTTTACTATTTTTCTCACTCTTAAGTGTGATTAATAGAAAACTAAAATTGTCTGTGCTGCTTCAATGTGTTTTACATCATATTTTACTGAATATTATTCCTCTAGTAAATACCTTATTTACATTTTTGGTCTCAAATTGGGAAAAAAAAGAAAAGAAAAAGCAACTACAAGACATGATGACACATGCCTGTAATCCCAGCACCTAGAAGGGGGAAAATGGGAAGATAACAAATTTGAGCCCATTCTTGTCTACCAAGCAAGACCATGTACACAAACCCAACAAACAAATCCTCTTAACATTAGGAACCAACATGGCTCATTCAAATGATTTGAAAATCAGGGCATGTTAGGAAGGGTAAAACTTTCTACAAAGAATGACTAAATTTAATGACTTTCCACCCTGGCATAGTGGCCCACACCTTTAGACCCAGCACTCAATAGGCAGAGGCAAGTAGATCTCTGTGAGTCCAAGGCCAGTCTGGTCTACATAATGAGTTCCAGGCCAGCCAGAGCTACCCAGTAAGACCTGTCTCCAAAATAAATAAATTTCTGCTTTATTCTTAAATTTAAAGTCTCTTTGACTATTTTTCATTATCAGAAAATTTAGCTTCTGATTTTAATTACAGTGCAGGTAAATTGATGAAAAGTCTTTAGATATTCCCTACTCAAAAGGAATTATATGCATATATGTATTTTGGCCATTTTACTCTCATTTAAATAGCAGGGCTTTGCTTTGTTCAGTTTGCTGGTTTGGGATTAGGATTTGGTGACAGGACCTTGTTTTGGGTTTGTTGTTGTTGTTGTTGGTGGTGGTGGTGGTGGTGATGGTGGTTTTGTTGTGGTTGTTGTTGTTGTTGTGTATAAGATCTGTTTATACTTCCATGTATCCATCTCACAGTTCACCCTGCCTGCAAATTGCATTGTCATTATAAGCTAGTATGCAAAGATACTTACAAAGTAAATTCTTGTAAATGGGAATACTCTCTTCCCCATATTTTATAACAGTCATAACCACGATTGATTTGACAGCAAATATTTTCCATGCCTTGCCCACATTCGTTCTTTGAAGCACTTAGTTCAGTTTTCATTGACAATTTTCATTTTTCATTCATAGTCATATTTTATTGCTCTAATAATCAATTGAATAATATGTCATTAAATTTCCCAAGAGCAGTTACAATAGGTGAAGTCAGGTTCTCATGGGCCCTGTAACTTACCTAGTGTGAACAGAAGTACGCAAGCACACTTCTGGCACAGGCCATGAGTATCTACTATGCTGTGGCTTCCCTCTGCATGTTGCATGGCACACTACCACACAGTAACAGCTAGTGTGTGCAACTGGATGAACTAGTCGTATGGACACTAGTTAGATTTGCTACTATAACATCACCTACAGTGCCCATAGATGAGTTAAAACATCTGGAATCACCTGGATAATAGTGTGTCTGCAGAAACAAAACAAAACATGAAGAAAACAATATCTAGCTTCACTTCTCTATCAAGTATCCAAAATAAATATGTATCAGCATGACAAAATGCCAGCTTTTATCATGTATGTATGTGTGCATGCATATGCTGTGTGCAGGTGCCCAAGAAAGCCAGAAAGGGTGTCAGATCTCCTAGAGATGGAGTTATAAGTGGTTGTGAATCAGGGGCTGGGAACAAGCTCAGGCCTTCTGGAAGAGCAGCAAGCACCCTTGTTTAATGAGCCATCTCTCCAGCCATTCATTCTTAGTCTTGACTATCTTACTCACATATGGATCTCACAAACAGAGCTCTGATGTGAGCATGTTTACATACCCGTGGGTCTGAAAATATGTCAGTCAGCCTGACAAATACCCACCAATAATAATATTTGTAGATGAAAACATTTTATTCTGTTAAAACAATCATGATACCCGCTGAGAGGAATAAAAAGCCTTGCATGCACAAGAGAGGTGCTGAAGAGATGCATACAAGCTGAAATATTCTGCTAGCACATACGTCTTTTTCATTTTCACGCCCTGATATTTATGCACAATGAGGAAATGCCCCGTGTTTATCCTCCAAATGAACTTGGTGTAGCAGCTCGAGTGTGACTTGGGCCATTCCCGGCAGCACTCTGTGGGAGCGGTGACCTGGAAAGCTCGGTGTAAAAGTTACTGAAATTGTCTGAGTACAGGAAATCACTGCTAAGTTTAAGTCCAAGTGAGACTGGAAATCAAGAGGCTGGAAATCATAGCTGTGAAGAAAAGAGGGGAAAATGGAATCAAATTAATGTAATGCAGAGCCTATAGCAGCCTGCAATTTGACATAAGCCCCTTACAGGAATAAAAGGCAGGATCCAAACAGCTCCAAAGACTAGGGTAGAGGTGGGTGTAGTTAGTGTGTGTGGTGGTTGGGGGAGACATTTAATGTGCTTAAGACTCACAAAGTTGGGCAGGAACCTAACTAGTTAACTGCTTTCAAAGACGACTTTATATTAACATATAGTAAAGGGAAGACTTCCTTAGCCATTCTGGGCCTTTCGCTACTTATCTTTGAAGGAAAACTGTGTCCAACCAGAATATGTCCATGAAAGATGAAAGGCAATGGATCTCAAAACACCAGGAACTGTGGGAAAAATAGCACTTAAATTTCTCCATCGAGTTATGTGGTGTGTGGAGACCAGAGAACTGAGATTAATCAATTGTGCTTCATTTGATGCCCCTTTATTTTTGCACAGCTCAACCACTCTACAAATGAAGAGGTAGGGGCTGGAGAGATGGCTCAGTGGTTAAAGGTACTGACTGCTCTTCCAGAGCACCTGGTTCAATTTTCAGCTCACAACTGTCTTTAACTCCAGTTCCAGGGGATCTGACACCCTCACCCATACATACATGCAGGCAAAATCCAATGCACATGAAATGAAATAAATTATTTTTTAAAAATAAAGAGGTAAAAGTCACATTTTCCTGTTGTTTTTTGTTTTGTTTTGTTTTGTTTGTTGTTTTTTTTTTTAACTTTGCTACTCAGACCAAATTTTTAAAACTTGTCCAAAGATGGAAACAAAGACTCATGGGCCTGCACTGGCTTTTCTCACTTACAGGTACCTATCCATGAGTGTGCCAATTTAAAAGTTTATTTTAGATCTCAGGAGAAACCAGGAAAGCTAATCCTTTTCAATTTAGGATTTGGTGGGTGCGGCAATCTAGGAAGACCTGGGAAATAACTACTGTTTGGTTTGGATGTTATGCTTGTCTACCATTAAAAGAGCATATAATTATAGCCCAAATGTAGACCTGGATCTTGAACAGACTAATCTGAACTTTCAAAACGTGTACCTTTTAATGTAACCATTGAAAACTATAGTATGCCAGATGTTATAGCACTGTTCAAAACATTGAGCTTAAGTTGAAGTCAGGACCCTTTTAAAATCCCTTTGTATCACCTTACTCTCCGGCTTGCATTATGCACGTGAGGGGGTGGGGCTTCATTTGATCTATTTTAGAGAAGTTAAGTGAATTATTTTGCAGATAGCTCAGGCTTTTGTCTAAATGCAGGAAAGCTTTCTCCTTTCTCTGCGAGAGAAACCCTTCTTACCCCTCCCCCACGCCTCATGTCTTAATGTTTCACAAAATAAATCTGGAGACCCTGGGTTCCGAGAGTTGCCTGTTCTAGGGGCGGAGAGATAGAAACACAGCAGCTCTATCTCGTAGTAATGTGATCTAAAACAAAAATCACTATTACGTACATACTGCTTTTCTATCCCGAGCACCTTCTCTGGAAAGACTCCCAGGCAGTGGAACGGCGACGGACACACCGCTTAGGACAACCTGGGAGCAGCGGGGGTGGGGGACCCGGGAACCCGGTCTGTCACCTGACTGCCAGGAAGACGGACGTGCGGCGGGGAGCATCGAAGGCGGGGGGGGGGCGGAGTGGGAGGGGGGGC